ATCTTTTTAAGAAATTGTTGTTTGTTTGTGAGGGTTCAATCCAGTGATTTTAAAATTTGTTGGCTACTGAATTTTTTGCATGCACAAATGGCATGTTACTTTACTATATTCTCTTTTCATTTTTGATTTGCCACCATACATACTCCATTCTGAATTACTTAGTTCCCTTGTGATCTACAAATCAACTTTGCTCATTCCCTTATTCCTAGTGAATTGGTGAAGCTATCATTTTCTTTAAAATACACTTGCAATATTAATAACAACATATCTCTTGATGTGGCTTTTTATGCTGCTAAAACTTTAAATTAATTTCTCTTCTATGGTTGTAAGACAAAGAAAAGGAATCAAATGAAATCTCAGAAAACATGGATTTTATGAAATACAATCTAGCAGGAGCATTAGTGCAAAAATAGAATTTATTTATTCACTAATTCCCTCAGGAAAGGCATGAATACATCTCTCCTCTTCCCAGCTGAGAGTTAAATAGCAAAGGAAACAGGACTCTCTCTCCTTGGGTAACAACCAGTGGAGAAATATTACTCTGAATTCAAAACCATGGACAAGGCAATGTGAAACCACTCATCTCTTTCATAATAAATTATGGCAATATTCAGATAATAAAGAAAAGGAATTTCTTAGAAGTCTTTATTACCTCCATCCTGAAAGGACATAGCTTTAAAAAAAATTCAACAATTGTTAACCAGTAACAAACAAGAAGTCTTATAACCAAGCCACTCCCTCCTATGCACCTGGGACCTAACTGGGGATACTGTCAGGATATCTCCTTCCAACAATCAATCTTCTCCACCCATGTTTTTAATTTGAGGAAGTCTTAGGTGAAACTGATCAAAATGCTATCAGGAATGATTTACAAAAAAAATACAAAAAGAAGCAACTCTTGCTTTATTAACAATAATGTAAAGTTTATTTGTTGAGGGTTATATTTATCAGATTATCACTTTCAAATTTCTCATTGCTGTCATCTACCTAACTACAGCAAGTTTGTGAGTTAGTAGGTGTCAGCTTTGTTCATAGCATATTGCAACAATAGCAATGCCCTGAATTGGTCACTTGTCGTCAGTTCAACAATTTAAAATGAGAAACTTCGGACTTGGACACGCTGATGAAGTTGATCTTAATTCACTTCATTTGTTGGTAAGCAAAAACTCTTAGGCAGAGGAAGTTTTTCAGTTGAGAAAATTGTTCTCAGACAGTATCTTGCAAGGCATGGTAGAGAGTGTTTTGAAGAGAGGGCAGTGATATCAACTGCTCTTGCTACATTTCATCATTCTTCAGCTCTGTACTTCTACCTGGACTGCCCTGTACTACTGACTAGTGTGTTTTCCCCATATGTATAGGGAATATGTTCCTTTCAGATGTCAAGTTCCAATGTGCATATGTGCATGGTAACTTAGTGGGGGTTTTGATGATCTCATACTCTTGACTCACATAGATTGATCCAGCCAAAATCACCTCAGCTAATATACAATTGAGATAGAAATGGTGAATGGGATTAAAAAATTCCAATTTTGAATTTTGGCCTCTCTCGTTCAGTCTAGGGCTAACTGGTTTATCTAAACTGTCATCATCTCCAGCAAATGCGTCTGAGTAGTGGGTGCTCCCTGTTTCACTTGGTCATACTAATTAAAACCCTGTTAATTCACACAAGTTCAAACCCAGATAATTCCAGATACTAATTCATTTTATTTTAATTAAATGTCTTTCATTTCTCAAAAAATCACTAGAAAAACTAACCACTAGTGTACTTCTGATGTGCTAGTAAAATCCAACTTACTTAGCATTAATTTTTAGACTTTTCATATCAAATCTTCAAGTTTAATTCCTGTTCCAACCAATATCAAATATAGATTCACTTATTTATAAAATCTACACCAGTAACTATATTACAGTTTTATTGCAGAGCTCTATTTTGTCTCTAAACATTTACTTATTTCTACATAACATCAGCATCTTTATATAATTGCCTTAATGTGTATACTACTGTTCTCTTCATGTAGCCTAGAATATGCCAACTGCATCCTCTGTAGAGGAGTAAGTCCTCACTTCTAAAATGGGCCACCTTCTAAATAAATACTTACACAATCAAATATAAATAACCAATATTTACCTATCTTTGAATCAAATAAAGCTCATAGATAAAATAAAGATTATAACATTAAATAACCCAACAATGATTGATGCTGTAAAATCAGCCAACCTATCTCTGGACTGATGAAATATGTAAAGACAAATTGAATAACATTGCACTTAACATTACTGCATATTTTGACATTGAAGTAACTGTCTTCATATTTTTTTTTTTATCATGAAGTCTAGTTGTCCATATAGTTTGGGTTTCTTAGTCTGAGGGGTACAGTATTTCATTCCTGTTCATTGTTTCTTCTTGATATTAATAGTGATTTTAGAAAACCTAAAATGTTCAAATTATATTAAATCTTCCTTGATTTTTTTTTTTTCCATTCAGTAATGTGAAGTTATACAGAAATTATCACAATTTTTTTTTGCTATAAAGCATGAAGAGAAAAATGTAGAATATGTTTGATATATAAAGATATGTAAAAATTGAACCATTTATTTTTCCCCCACACCTGAATTTCATCATCATTATAATATTTGAATACACAAGATAAATTAATTCCAAGATAATTTTCATGGTATATCAACTATTTGTAATTTAAATAGATGTGTTTTTGTCTTGAAAATCTCAAATTACTTCAAGTGAATTCGGGATCTTTAATTTTACATTTATTTTTTGTGATTTTTTTTTTCTTTTAAATAATAAATGAATAAAATGTGGGAAATGAATTATTGATAAGCATTTCTCAAAAAGTGCTTCATAAACATTCTTTTCTCATATAGCCTTTCCATTTATTCAAAATTTTTTTCCAAAAAAGTATTGCTGGTATTAAAACCAATTTTTATACTTTCATTGTGTTTTGACTCCTTTTGTAGGGTTAACTCTTTGCCCATGGCTGGGACCCTGACAGATGCTACCACCCTGGGTCAGGGTTGACCTGGGAACACTAACAATTAAGTGGTGCTTCCATGCTCCTCAAAACCTTCTGATCAAAGGCCTTGCTGTCAGATGTAGTTTATTGTCATACCCAGGACATTATTTCAAATGGATATTTTTCCTTGTCATAAATGTTTTCTATTTCACTTGGAACAATATTACTTTTATTATTCTAGCTAGTCATTGATATTACAGTTCCAGCTATTTGAACATTAGACCCTAATTAAAACCTCAACAATTTCCAGTATACATCCTTCTCTTCATTCTGAAGCACTAGTTTTTAATGCATGTACATTTATATATTGGTCTTTTGAGAGAAGCTCTCTTAATCCTTAGAGATATCTCTCATTTTCACCATGATGAATATTATTGCAATAGTTGCCTGTACTGTCAGTTTTGTCTTATACAATGATAGGTCAAGTGAAAGATTATTGAACATGTTACAAACAAGTTTCAGAATAAGAACAGTGAGAATTTAGCAAGTGTCCTTTTTTTTCTTCTTTTTTCCCTGATGTCATCAATTCTCAACTCAGTATCTTTACTGATATCATAAGTTTGATCAGTTTCATAAAATCAAATTAGCAGCTGATCTCAAAAATGACCTACAATCTGTTAACTGAGGCAAGGAATGGCTTGTTAATTTTAATGCCTCCAAAACAAAACTGCTCTCTTTTAGTCTTCTGAGAAAACCCTTTTTACCTTCCATGAGTGTGGCTGATACTAACATCCAGGAGAGTAACTTATTTCACTTTCTTGTGCTAACATTTTATGCTGATATGATGTGGAAAGATTACATTGAATCAGTTGTTACATTTTCTGCTAGGAAAGTTGTTTCTCTGTATCATGCTAGATAATTTATCTTGCCAGAATCTATTTTACACATTTATAAGTTTACCATTCATCCATGCATTGAATATTGCTACCACATCTGGTATGGTGCTTCTGCTATATATTTAGAGATCCTTGATAAAATACAAAGAAGATTCTCCAGTATTATTGGTCCTGACCTAGCATTTCAGCTCCAGTCACTTTCCCACCAACTTAATGTAGCTTTCCTGTACCTTTTCTATAAATGTTTTCATGGTAATTATTCAGATGAACTTAATTGGGGGAGACATCATTTGATCTAAAAACCTGCATCTACAGACACAAGAGATTTGAATTTGGGTAAACGATCTCTCTTTTATTGGATAGGAATGATGCTGGATATAACTTTGATTTCACTGATTAAAAAAGGACATAATTCTTTAAGGAGAAAATATTTTGAAAGCTTAATAATAATATTATTACCAACTATAAAGACACACCTAAAACATTACATTGCCATCTTTCTTTGAACCCATTCTTAAAGAATCTAACGTATATCTAATACAAAGAGTACGTGTATAAAAAAAACAATCCCAGATTAAATAAAGTATCACCCTACTGTACCAGTTAACCACACAAAGATGAAGACTTTAGAACTCTTACTACTAGACACACACACATACACAATTAAGAATACACTTTACTATCCAATGCTCACTTAGACATACTAGAATTTTTACAAATTTTACATACATATAGAATTATGGTTGTAATGTGTATGATACATAACTGACCAATGAGAATCAACCCAAATGAAATTGAAAATACCAGAGTTCTGTCTTTTTACCTCTTTTCACTCAATCTCTGATGAAGCTTCAATAAAAGTGAAACATGTTAGTTAGATATACGTTTCCTATTTGCTCTTATATATATAAAATCTCGTTCTTAAAAGCTGGTCTAAAAGGAAACTCAATAGTAGAAAATCAAATTACTTATTTTTTAGACTGATTTTGTATCCCTTTGACAATTATTATTTTTATCTCTTAGGAATCTTGAAATGATTGGCTTTTCTTTTGAAAGTTGATCACCCAAAACAATATTTTAATGTATTTTTTATCATCTTTCTCCATATTTGTTCATTTTCTTTTTTTTCTTGAAGGAATATTCCGAAGAGAGCAACTCAGAACCTGATGTTGATTTGGAGAACCAATATTATAATTCCAAAGCCTTGAAAGAGGATGATCCAAGGAAAGCCCTGGAGAGTTTTCATACAGTTTGTATTTCATTTGCATTTTAAAACTAGTAAAAATATATATGTCAACATTATCCATAAAAAAAAACATACTTTTATATTCTCTTCATCTTACTTACACACAAGCTTACAGTCACATCACATTGAAACACTAAAGTTGTCGGAAAAAAAAAAAAGCTTTCGACACAGTAAAGGGGGGGGACCCAGAAAAGAGCAGCAACAGCCTGGTAAGGGTTGCAAAAGGAGTCCTCCTCTTGCGACCCACTCCAACTAGGTCTAGTAACTGAGAAGAAAAAGAAGTAATAATCTTTCAGCACGACAATTAACCAGTCACGCATTGGCTGGTAGAAAAAAAAAAGGTTTGGTGAGTGTATGGAAGACGATTTTTATAAGGAGGCTAACTACTTCCAACAATCCTCCTCCTACAAAGACCATAAGTATCAATTGGTTACTTGCTTCCAGTTTAGCTGGGCACAATTCCCCTGAGGCTGAAGCAACCCGTCCGTAAGTACCCCCCCCTCTCTTCCTCTTTCCTTTTCTTAACAAAGTTAAGCAATGTCAAACCTGATCAATAACTAGATGGACCGCCACTTAGGAATAACAGGTGCTGTATGCTTTGATGTGTGGATGGTGTAGTGGATAATGGCTCAGAATTGTTAATTGGAGAGCAGAGTTCCAATTTCAGTTGGGTTCATTGTTTTCACTTATGTTTAAATACCCTTGGAGGGAAAAGTGTAAATCTACCTCTTCTCCCTACCCCAGGGTTAATTACTAAAATTTGCACCATTAAAATGATTATTATCTCCCCCCGCAAAAAATAAAATTGCATACAAAATATTTAGATTTTGGCATTAAATAACCCAGAAAGGTTGATATGCCGCTAATCAAAAACAACCAACCGAAATTACTTACACACACATACTCTCTCTTCGTCTTTTCGTGTGTATTTATTTATTTGAATGAATTAACTATTTATTTTGTTAGGTGTTGGAACTTGAAGGGAAAGATAAAGGAGAATGGGGCTTTAAAGCCTTGAAGCAGATGATAAAAATTAATTTTAAACTTGTAAGTATTTTTTTTTTTTTTTTTTTTTAAGACTAGATTCATATCAAACTTTTCTTCTTATTGCTTTGTCATTCTTTTTAAGATTCTTTTTTATTACATGAATTGTCTTTTGCTCAGAAATATTTAAATATATTTCATTGTTATATTCAGCTTTTATCTTGATTCTTTTGTCACTTTACAAAAAATAAAACAAATTTAGCCTTTTGGATTTGCTCCTGTAGAGATAGAAGCAAAAATCATTATTAGTCAAATGTCATATCTTTTTCTTGCATTGCTAATCTTTTTGTTATGAATATTTATTACTCGCTAAAAATAATTAGTTTTGGTTTTTGCTATTAAGAACATTTTAGAAACTAGAAATGACAAAGTTTAAATTAAGAAAAATGGCTTCTAGAATAATTTGTCAGTCCAAAAATTAATTATTTACATTATTCAGACTGTTATCCTCATCTTCATTGCCATAACACAACGTTTTGGCCATTGAATGCACAGGCCTTTTTCAGGTGATTGGAATTTTGAACCAAACCCTTTATTTCATCCACCAGGGTAGATTGTTCTAGTTCCACATGCCATGCTTCTTCCGGATGTCTCAGTTATTTCCCTTTAACTCAACTTTCTAAGTTTTTGGTTCACCACTGCTGTGGCCTGGTATTGAACTGACAACTCTTTGGGTTTAGTCTCTGGATCTAACCAACATTTTTATCCACTGGGCTATGTGTCCTTGAGGACTAGACCCAAAGGCTGGAGTGTACAATGGCCAAAATGTTGTGGATATGGCAATGAAGATGAGGATAACAGTCTGAATAAAGTAAATAATCATAATGCCTCCTCTCAGAGATATAGACAGATACAGAAAATTAATATCAAGATAATTTTAAAAAAATAAGTAAACAAATCAAAAAAAAAAAGAAAACAGTTAATATTTTTTACAACTTTTACTTTTATTCCCACAGGAAAATTATGATGAAATGATGATCCGTTACAAACAACTGCTTACTTATATTAAATCCGCAGTAACCAGAAACTACTCTGAAAAATCCATCAATTCAATCTTGGATTATATCTCCACGTCTCAACAGGTCAGTCATGCCACTCTCTTCCCAAGCACACTCTTTCAGCCAATTGTATATTAAGAACTTCTTCAAATCTATCTCTCTTTCCTTTGTTTTTTGATTGCTACTCTTTCAACAAATACACAAAATGTGTGCCTTTTTTTATATTGCATTCTATGAATGCTTGATCATTTTTGGAGTTTATCTCTAGATACATTTCAAAATTACTGATAAAGATCAAATAATTTGCTTCTGTAAATGTATAATGATAGATTACTTTATAACTGTTTGCAAAAGTGAATATGTATTAAAAATATTTAAAAAATATTATAAGATGATTTGGTTTCTAAAGATTTATTATTTTCCTTTATAATGAATCGCCTTTGTAAATTGTTACAACAGCTGAAAAATTTTCCAACCTTCAATTTTAAGTGTTTGGAGATATATATATCTCCAACTATAGGATTGATGTATATGGAATAAATTCCAATAACCAAAAAAAAAAAACTATTCTTAAAAGATTGCTCAATTCAGAGTAGAGCAGATATAATTTTCTTTAAATAATTTTACAATTTTTTAAACTTAATACAGATTAAATTTAAAATTGGTAATTTTAATTTTGAATTTTATAGTAAAATTTGATATTAATTAGTTAGAATGATTTCTATTTTAGTCTAACCCTAACATTAAAGCATTAATTATTATAACCAAGGTTTGTTGTCAAGTTTTTTGAATTCTCATATAGTTGTATTTTGATTGGTCATTGCAGCTTATGTAACAGCGTTTCCCCTAACGAGGAGTGTTTGATTGATTTGACCCTTTTAAAACCTTTTATTCTACTTTCAACACCATCACTTGATAAGACACCAGTGTTGAAACAAAATGGCTATTTTTGTAGTGATTTTCATATTTATGTTATAATTTTTGAATAAATAATTATATATATATATATATATATATATATATATATATATATATATATATACACACACTAGAAATAACTGAAAATTTTACGGTTTTCCTATTTGAATTTTCTAATGAATCATAATTCTTAAGTTAATAATTGAATAAGCTCATGGCGAGTTTTATGACAATATATCTGTAGAAATTCCACTACTGCATTGTTAAATATTTGAGTTTAACAACTTTAACAGAATATTGCAATAGCAATGAAATGAATGCTGGTTGTTATTTTAAGCAGTAAGGCTGTACAAATGAAAAGAATTCAAATTTACAACTTTTTCCATTTCACTGAAACAGGCATTAAGCACTTCTAATCAGCCTTTCTTTCATTCATTTCTCACTAAAACCAAGTAGAATCTGTGATCAAAATGGAAAAGTTCATTATTTATGAGGTATTGGTAGAGTGTAACAATTATGCTAACTAAAGGAGGGACAGATATATGATTTATTTTCATATAGAAAACTAGCATGCATTTCTAAATGAAACTAATTTTGTCTATTTTTACAAGCCCCTAAAAAGTAAGCTTGTGAGTAATATTTACATGCATGTAGGAAATGATCCTAGTAAGCTATAAATGTTGCTTGACTACCCACAATGTTTGGTGATTATAGATCCATTAGTCATTTGGTGCTTGCCAAACAAATTGTAGACATTTACTAAATTATGATATTTGACAACAATGTTTTCTTCAGAAACACAGGATGAAATGCTGAATTATATAGTCTATGAAGGCATGCTGGAAATCTCTCATCCACTTCCCAAAATCTAACCAAACTTTTGTTGTTTTTGGATGTGATGAGAACTTTCCAGTACAACCTTGTATTAATTTTTAACTAGCCTTGCTATCACTTTGTTGCTTTTTATCACAACTGTCCAGTAATTCTTAGATTTATTCTATGAATGTTAAGTAGCCCAAATCAGAAACAACCACTAGCATTCTGGCAAGATTTTAACCCTCGTCTCTTATCCCTGACAATCTATCATATAGTAACTGTGCCTTACCAATTAAGCTACAAATGCGTATGAGTTCAAATTAGTCATTTAGCTATAGTTTTTCTTCTCTTGTCATTATAACAAACCCTTCTCTGATTTAATGGTTTATGGTTACAGTATATCACAAAATTTTTGCCTTTTTTTCTTGCAATTTTTATGATTGTCAATATTTTTTTTCTTTCAGATGGGATTGTTACAGAATTTTTATGAAACCACCTTGGAAGCACTAAAAGAAGCCAAAAATGAAAGGTTATGGTTTAAAACTAACACTAAGCTTGGCAAACTTTATTTTGATCGAAATGAATATGGAAAGTTAATGGCCATTCTTAAAGAGCTTCATAACTCTTGCCAGGTATGAAAGAGCTTCATAACTCTTGCCAGGTATATGGTTTGCTATCTTTTATTTGCTCTTAGTTTCTTTTATGTTCTGATTTTTCTGAATAAGTGGAGAGCTGAGTTCCAATTCCAATCAGGTTTGTTATATTCACTTAATCACAAATACCCTTGGGAAAAGGCAGCAATCTCCACAGCTATAGGTTAATTAGTAGGATTTGTATCAGTAAATAATTATCTCCAAAAAATTCTTAAATCTAAAAATATTATCTGGCTTTAAATAACCTGCAAAAGGTTGATAAGCCATAAAAAACAACAAATCTATGAATTTTCTGAATAGGGAGCTGTCTTGGGTATTTAGAGATTTAATCTATTGCAGCAGAAATTTTAGTCATTCTCATTTCACCCATAAATCTGCAATAATTCTTGTCATTTTTAAGTTGAACTTCAATTATTTTGCTGTTTGTAAACTGATGTTTCTTCTAAATGTTGGAAACAGCTTTTTTGTATATTGCCCTCTCTTTCGCGATGTTTTGAAATATTTCCACCTTAAAGCCAATTAGTTCTACATATTTTACAAATGTTTATGGTAAATTGATCCACTGTTTTGATCTGAGGTAGAAATCCTTTAAGATCTACAATGATGCTCATAATGTTAATGTTATCATAGAAACTAGTATCAAGTATTAGATGCCACATCAATCACCATCTTCTGTTTTTCTGAACCCTGTTCATTTTTTGTCCTGTCTCTTTCTTTTTTCACTTTTACTTCCTGTAACCCCTGCATGCTAATGGCATTACCACCTTGCTTGGTGTGAAAAGAATTTAAAAATGTATACTTTTATTCTTTGGTAAGTCAGGAATTAAGACAAATTACACTCTTATTTTGTTTCTAATTTCTCTCTCTCTCTCTCTTCACTAATTACATGATGCAATGGGCGGTTATTTTGCAAACTATTTTCTATTACACTTCAGTTGTATAATTAAATATTCATGTAAATGTTTTACACCTAAAAATCATTAAAAGATAAATGACTTTAAAATTTGTCAGTATGTGTCATTAGCTTTTGTGATATTTGGTTTAAAAGAGGTTTTTGATACTAAATTTTAATTTACAAATTAAATCGTCAATAATTTTGGGTTTGTGCTCATAAAATTATGCAATTTTATTAATAGTATCTTTAGGAATGAAAAAAGGAAAAATTAAAAAAAAAAAAAATGCAGGCAAAATTTATTCAATTACATTTTAAATCACCAGACCAAGAATTTGAATGTATTCTTCTCAAAATTAATGAAGTATCTGAGTTGTCCCCCTTGGACTGAATTTCTTTTTTCTAATGTCGATGTTTTCAGAATTTTAAGTGCAAATGTATATTTTTGGCAAACTTAAACGTGAAATCAACAAAAAAGACTTTATTCTCTTAAAGATAATTTTACATTTTATTTCATTTCAGTTATATAATTTTGAAAAGAACAAAATAGCACAAATGAAAATATTTTGCTAATTTAATTTTAAATGTTTAAAAAAATTGCTGAAATGAATTTTTGTAATATCACCATTTGATAAATTTTCACACTATATATTAAAAATCAATTTGTGGATTTTACTTGCAGATTAAAGCTTAAGTTTAATTTTTGCATTTTTAAAAAATTTACAAAATACCAATTTCTCTAATAGTAGCTCATGTTTAATATTGCAGTGTTAGCCATTGATTATGTAAGTTTAACCTGTTTTCTTCCCAGCATATTTTTTAATGTTGTAAATCCTATGTTAGTTTTTTATCATAAAAAATAATGAAAAATAAAGTCATCATTGTGTTTAAAATGGTCTTATTTTCATACAAATCAATTAATATATACAACAGAATATCTTATAAATGTTATAATGTATAGAGAAAGAGAGAGAGAATATGTAAATTTCTTTTGTATGAGAAAAGACAACTGTCTTATGCAGTATAGCATTCTTAGTACTGTTCTAAAAATTTATATAATAAATGTTGCAAAATTTTTTGGCAAATTGGCAAAAATTTTCATTTTTTTTCTCAATAAAATCAGGCTATTCTTGAAATATTTATTCCAGTTTAAATTTTTTAAATGATTTTCTGTTTAATATATCAAAGCTTGAATAGGTGATAATTTTATTTCTCAATTCATTAAGTAAAGCGTAAATTTTATTTGTACCATTAGATTAACTTCTTTGCTGATATTTTTTAGTTATATTAATTTTTTTTCCACAAAGAATAAAGAATGCAAATATCTACATTGTGCTCAAATATTACATCTCTTCCCTTTATTTATAAACGCATTCTAAAGGATTCTTATGTATCTTTTACTGTTTTCTTTTTGTAACAGGTTATCCTAGATGTTTTTTTTTCTTCTTAATCATGATTGGTAAACTACTTTCCGATCTTTTTGTTCTTTAAGACGAAAGAAGGCGAAGATGACTTGAAAAAGGGGACGCAACTTCTGGAAATTTATGCACTAGAAATTCAAATGCACACTGTCCAAAAAAATGATAAGAAATTAAAGGTAATTTTTTTTATTATTATTCGAACTGTGTCAGAATATTTTCTTTTTTATTACTGGTGTTTTTGTTGTTTTTTTTTTTTGGAGGGGGGGCTACTAATTTAGTGTTTAGATTTTTAATTGCAGATTTTTTTTCTATAATATTGAAATATTGACGAAATTTGTATTTGTAGGATTTTTTATTAAACAATTCAATTAGTTTTAGAAACCATGTTTTTATGTTTGACTTCAAATTTAAACTTTATTGCTTGAATTTAAAACACAAGTTAATAAAAAAAACAATTATTATTACAAATGCTGTTCTTATAATTACAACCTTAAGCATGTTTAACTATTACTTTTTTGTATTTATTAGTTGAGAAAAGAAATCATATAATTCAATGTGTTTAACTTGTGTATTTTCAATGAAGTAAATATAACTGTTTCTCCTGCAAAAAAAAAAAAAATAATATACTTGGTTCCTTTTTGTTGTTGTTGTTTTTTATTGCTTTTTTTATGTGTGTAATGATTTAAAAATTGGAATAGCATTTGATTGGTTGGGTTTGTTGTCAAATAGTAATCATTATTCTTGCTTTTCTTCTCAGAAACTTTATGAACAGTCTTTGCACATTAAATCTGCAATTCCACATCCACTAATCATGGGAGTGATTCGAGGTAAGATCTCTCTAATTCATCCTCTCTCTCTCTGTACACACACACGCAAACACACACACACGCACACAGAGCTGCCATGATCTAAAGCAATGTTTCTCAACCTCTTTACCCTTGTGGAACCCTTGAAATACTTTTCATGTCCCAGGGAATGCCTGCATTAAAAATTATTGTATACCATTATTAATATCTATCTCTTTTATATTTTTATTGTAGTAAACATAATATATGGACACCATGCATTCTGTATTCTAGTGAGTCATTCAGTGACACACAAATCCACCACATCAGTGTCCTGCCCACTGAGTTATTGGAACTAGCTGTAGTTTTTCTTTGAATAACTCATCTGTCAAACTATTAAAAGATAAATCATAAAGTTTGTGTTTTTGATATTGATGACCAGTCACTGTGTTTGTGTGTGCACATGTCAGTTTCAGTCCTTGAAACTTCTTAACATAGTCCTTGAAAAGTGCTGGAATTTTTTTATTTACACAGATCTGTGGGAAGCCTGTTTCAGGAAAAAAATTATTTTAATTGAAATAATGTCTCTATACTAATTATGGTACTTTTGTCTGTAGATTTGCTTGTTTCAACACTAACAGAAGCAGCTGTAGTTTCAGAATTTGAAAAATGTATAAAAGTAAACCACATCAATACAATTTTATGCAGAGTTAATAATTTTCAAAAGTTATCAGCATTTAAATTTTTATCTATATAAAAATGTTTATTGTTTGTGAATTTGAAAATATTTTAGAATTCAAACTTATGCCGTTTTTACAAATTTTGTTGAAACTGCACTGTGTAATATTAAAAAATCCTTTAGTCTCTAGAAGTGCAGTGATTCAAAATATATAACAGGTCATTTTATTGAAATCCAACAAAGTGGGTTTGACAGTAATAAATAGAATTTTCAGCACCCCTTTTAAAAATCTTGCCAAAATAATTCAAAATTAATACTTTCATTAGTTTCCAATAATAAAAAAAATTAAGACTATTTGATAAGATTTTTAAATAAATGATATGCTGAAAAATAACCCTGTTTAAAATGGATTTTAAAAAATTAGAATACAATAAACATATGAGAGATCTATTCCAGTAAAATACTTTGAAAATGTTTCATCTTCCATTCAATATTGTGGGTCTCTTTTATCAAAACCTCTTTAACTGCCCATGTAATGTTTCTTCATGCATTACTTGATTTATATGAAATATTTCTTACAGAATTTTCTTAGAAAAGAATCTCTAGTAGAATTTCTCTAAATATGTTTGTTTTTTTTTTAGAATGTGGTGGAAAGATGCATTTGCGAGAAGGAGAATATGAAAAATCACACACTGATTTCTTTGAAGCATTTAAAAATTATGATGAGTCTGGAAATCCCCGGTAAGTTTCAATAAACACTTTTCTTTTAATTTTTGGAATTTAAATTATTAATTATTTTAGATTGGCTTTGTTTGTACTTTTAAGTATTTATACCAAACTTCTATCAGTTACAATTAATATCATGCATAGCTTATGTAAATTAAACTCCCTATATATTTATATCAGCACCATTCTTTTTAGTCCACTACAGGACCCTGGTTTTCCCCAAATCTATTACACACACACACACACACACACACAAGGACTAATGGGCTTTGCCCTGCCATGTTGGCAGGTGATATTAATTTTGGGAATAAGTTTTGTGCATATTTAATTAACTTTCCTAACACATTATCTCAGAATTATGTTGTTGTTAATGATAGTTTCAGGTATAATTTTGTTCTATGCCATCATTCTGTAAAGATCAAGTTACACATGTATATGTCCATTATTTATCTCATTATTTTTACATTACAGACGTACCACATGCTTAAAGTATTTGGTTTTAGCTAATATGTTAATGAAATCTGGAATAAATCCATTTGATTCTCAGGAAACAAAACCTTACAAGAATGACTCTGAGATTCTTGCAATGACAAATTTAGTGAGGTATGTTCTCTGTAAAATTGATATTTTTTTGAAATGCAATTTTCTGTGTTGACTTAAAGGATCTATTTTTATTTTATATTGTATATTTGTTGACTTAATCCATTTCACACATTCAATCAGATATCCTTCCATGTAATAGTACAGAACTCCAAAATGAACTGATGAAAAGTATGTGTGAGATATCTTAAGAAGAGAAATTCTGTTCACATTAGTAAAAGCTTTATTCCTTTGTTGAAATTAACAGTAAATTCTAAAAGTGAAACATTACAGTGTATAATTTAACAATATGATTCAATCAAGTTTTTATATATACACTCTCTCTCTCTCTCTCTCTCTCTCTGCTTTTAATTTTTTCTGCTATATACAACAGTTTTTTTTTTTTTCCTTGTATTTTTTCTCAGTGCTTATCAAAATAATGACATTGATGAATTTGAAAAGATTCTTCAAAGGAACAAACAAAATATTATGGAAGATCCATTCATTCGTGAACATATTGAAGGTATGTGCATTTCTGCTCATTTTATTAGATACAAGGTTGATCTTAAAACATTTTTCATATCTCACAGTTTACTATTTAGTCTTTTCCCGTTGATGTTATGTACCAAGCAACCATGACACTAAACAAGTTTGTTGTATTAATGCTAAGTATAATCTCATAATAATAATTTTAAACACTTTTTCATTTTCTTAGGTTCAAATGATGTGATAAGTCACAGATGTTTTTACTGCTAGAGAAAAATCTGAAGAAAAAAATGTTTAGAATATCAAGAATAGAGGATTTTGTTTTATGAAAAGAAAAATTTTCAAGCTGATCATTGAATGATATAAAGAATCTTTATAAAAATGAATAAAAACCAGGAAAATGCGCCTGCTGAACCTTGCATAGAATGCATTTTGTTTCTTAATACTAAATTTGAACAATGTATTCAAATTTAGAAATTAATCAAATCACTAAGTGTATAAACCTGGTGAATGTCACTGCACTACCAAAGATGTGGTGTTATTGAGCTTCAGATACTGTGTGTAGACATGCTGGTAAGGAACCAACATTGATGGTAATTTTATCGAGTGTCTGGTGTTGTATTGTTGTGTATCTAGTGAGAATTTAGATATGATTCCCAACAAACTGGGCTAATTTCTTTGTCTCTGCTGAAAATCAATTTCACAGAACAAGGCAACAAACTGTTGAAAACTAACAATAGGTTTAATAAAAAATAGAAATTTTAAAGATACATAAAGAATTATTAATCTTTGAACATAGCCCTAAGTGGTGACTTTTCAGCAGTAAAGTTTTCTCACAGTAATTGAGAGAGATAAGACACCTTGATTCTCACACTGTATTTTTGTCTATTATGTATTGTGTCAGTATTTGTTGCTAGTTCAAGCAGTGAGATGGTCTGGACTGGGAATGTTGCCTATCCGCTGTTGCTTGCCTGCATCTTTCATATTTATATAATGGAAATTTGCTCAACCCTGACATTGATTTATTGCATATTTAAATAAGATATTCATATGAGCATCTTTGTTCAATAACACACATCCCTTTTTAGAAAGTGGTCAGGCCAAACCCACTGAATGAATTTAAGTAGCAAAAAAAGCATTTTGGAGAATTAGTATTTCATATAAACAAACTGAGAAGTCTTTAGAATTTGGAAAATTTCACAAGACCATAAATCTTTCTCGTATTGCAGCAGAGACAGCGAGGTGGGTTGGAGAAGATCTTATTTTCAATTTGCCATGTTCATTCAGGATGTGGGTGATCATGGCTCTGCACAACTTTTTTTTTTTCTTGTAGTCCTAAGTGTCTTTTTTGCAATATCTCCAAATCCCTGTTCTGCCAACCATTTACACAAATGCACTGCTTTCCTCTGTCCCTCTTGCCTTCAATATGCCCTGTGAGAGTCAAATTTTCCAAGCCATCTTTCCTCATGTACCATCAAAATTTCAACTGTCTCTTTCTGATGCTATGTATAAGTGTCCTTTTCATTTTCTCTAAAACTTTGTTGCTGTTCATGTGTTTATTTCATGATATTCTCAGCATCCTTCTGTAAAATCATATTTCAGTTGTCTCAAGTCTCTTCTTCATCTGTAAGGAGATTGTCAAAAATTCACTGCCATATAGGTGGACCAATCTTAATGAATTCTACTTGATTTATTTCATTATTAGATATTCTCATACAGTAAAGCATTGAACCAGGGTTAGCATCCTGTTATAGCTGTCATTTAAAACTTTAAAAAATCTTCCACAATTCTTATACCCACATATTTTCATATAATAGAACATTTAGATCAGAATTTTCTGGCAATTATGATTATCTGTGTATGTGTGCTTTAGAAATATTATTTTGCATGTGTACTGAAAAAAACAAAAATGGTAATGTAAAAATAGATTTTGTACATGATCATATTTTTTATAACTGGGTATAAAAGTTTATGCATTAAAACTCTTTAAATTCTTTTTTTTTTTTTTTTTTTTTAAGTAACATTTATTTTTATGAATCTGCTTAATAAACATTGGCTATTTCTGGTCCTTTCAGTATTCATAAAAATAGATTTATCTGTCAGCTAATATCTGGTTTCTCTAGTAATGAGAAATTCCATTGTAAAAGCATCATGTTACCATAACAGAATTTTAAAAACTTAAATAAAGGAAAAATATAAATCGTTTATATATATATATATATATATATATATATATATATATATATATATATATATATATATATACCTACCTTTTCTTTTCTTGATAGATATTCATATTTTCTGTTTAATAGCTAGTAATTTTAGAATCAAAGAAATGTAATATTTTAATGCTCTCTATTTGTGCTTTATCTGTCTTTTCAGATTTGCTGAGAAATATCCGGACTCAGGTTCTTATTAAATTGATCAAGCCATATACTCGAATACACATTCCTTTTATATCAAAGGTCAGTACCTCTCTGTTCTCTTTATATGTTTACTCAGTCTATATCTACGAACACTTCTCTTTTATTCTTGCATATTCATGTTTTTATCTTCCTGTCCTTTCAATTTATTCATTTGTTGTTTAAAGCTGAATAATTGAAAAACAAATAATGTCCACAGTTTCTCCCTGACCTTGATAATAGCCAGAATTAAGGGCAAAAGTGCTAGATTACATATGTTTGGGCAATATTTGTATTTATTAAAAATGCCTTCCTGTGTCCATAATTAAAAAGGTTTCCTTGTTTAAGGTTTTTAATCAAACACCATTAATGAAACATTACTGCTTAAAAAAATATCTATAGAGAGTGTAGATGTAAAAATCAGTACTTCATTCACCATACTGTGTTGATTCCTAGGTTCACACTGTTGTCTGTATCTATAAACATTTTCTCCAACATTGATGATAACCTCTTTCACACACACACACACACACACACACATATATATATGGGTTATGACATTTTGTAAAATAATTGGTTTCCTGTATCATAATTCAATGAACTTTTATTAAAAAAATAATGAATGTCACCCCCCCCCCTACACACACAATTTCCAAAATCATATATATGACTTTCTGGAGCCTTCTAGAACTTATTTTTGCTTATTTGTAAGTTTGTATGTTATGCTATAGTTATAAACTATTAAATGCATTAAAAAATACATAATTACTATCCGATTACATCATTAGCAAATTGAAAAATAAAAGCTTCTGAATTTTTTTTTTTTTTTTTCTTCTTTTTTTCTCTCTCTCACTATCTTTCTGCCCCCTCCCTTTATTTAGGGGTGACCATTTGCAATAACTAAAACAAATTAATGCCTTTTTCATTATTTTTGAACAAGAGTTTATCAATTTATGACACAGGGACTTAGGGTTACAAAAAAGTTATAACCCTAATATATATGTTCAATCCAACCAGCAACAACATCACTCATCTAGCATTGAAGTCCTCTTGCTCTGCTTGTACCTTATCATTTGAGTGGTATGACTTTGAAATAAAATTTTGGTTCACTTGTTGAAAATTTTTCATTACACAAGGCACATTCGGAGGTGCTGTATGCTGTAGTGGCATTCAATATCCTTGCTTACCAGTGGTGTTTTATAAGGCTAAACTTTGATGGGCATATTCGGTCACATGTCAGGGGTTACTTTGATCTTCTCTCTGGAAGCGGTTCGCCATCTCGTCCTCTTACTTAGTGTGCCTGTATATAATGTATGGGTAAATTGGTGTTTGGTTGTGCATGTATATGTGTGTGCATGTATGTATGTGTATATCTATGTGTGTAAGTGTGTGTATATAAGTGTATGTAAATGTGTGTATGTATATATCTGTATATGTGTGTGTACAGTGGAGTAATGAATAGCAGCTCAGATTGAGGAATCGGAGGACCAAGTTCGAATTACAGTCCAATCCATTACTTTCACTTACGTGCTAATATCCTTGGGAAAGGTATGAATCCTCTTCTTCTCTCTCCAACTATGGATAAATAGCATGACAGACCAGGTTCTATAGCCTTGGATGGCAACTGGTCTACTGCAGAAAGAAATGACAACCTACTGTGGGGAAAAAATCTGCCTCATCAGTCATGTATCAAAAGATACATGATCCACCTAAGTGTGTATAATGTATGGTACATAACTGACTGATTGATCTACTTATACATGTGTGTATACACACATACATATATGTATAAAACAGATGATTAAGTCTGAACTATGATTGTTTAATTATGGTTTTATTTTCTTCTCTTAGGAACTGAACATAATGCCCCAAGAAGTGGAGAGTTTATTGGTTTCATGTATATTGGATCAGTAAGTAGTCAAAGTTTCCCTTTTATTTTCAACATGACATAATATTCATTATAATTATCCTTCAATCAAAAAATAATTTCAATCTTAGAAGTAAATTGTCTTTATCTTTTTCTTTGTTGCTAATCAGTAATTATGTTTTTATGCAAGAAAGAACAACTGAATCTTTTTTTGTTTGATAATCCATTTTATCTACAAAGCAAAGGCTATGCTGTAATTAAAATAATTCATTCAGTAAAATTCAAGGAATATAAGTTGGATATGGTTATTTATTTTCATTATTGTTAATAAAACTAAAAAATTTCTTTCATTAATACTTTCAAAATGGATATTTTAAAAAGTGTGTGTATATATATATATATATATATATATATATGCACACACACACTCTCTCTACAGTTCAAAAGTTTGAGGCTCCTATTAATTTTTTTAAATTGGCTCAAAAAGTAATTGTGTTGTATTTTAAGTAATAGAAAATTATTATACATGGTTAAAAAAAAAGTGAGACACGATAATTTTATTAAATTTTGCTCTCATCAAAATATCCTCTTTTAGCTTTGATTACTACAGCACAAATTTTTGGGATTCGTTGCAATAGATTCTAAAACTATAAGTTTAATTTTTTCCAATCTTTTTTTCAATGACTAAAAGCTCATCCCATGCTAATTCTGGAGTTCACTTCAAACTTTTGAAGTGTGTATGTATGTATGTATGTATGTATATATATATATATATATATATATATATATATATTATAAATTAATTGATTTAAAATATGGTTTTTTCCGCTACACAGTTCTAACCATGTTTCAAAAATAGACGCTAAAAGCCCCGAATTTAATTTAGCAATTAAATTAAAAGCATTAGTTCCATTTCATCCTCAAGCGAATTTTGGAGTAACTTTTTACTGTTCTTTCTTTTTATTTATATATATAATATAATATATGTGTATATATATATATATATATATATATATATCAAGTATATAATTGGTGTATACAGAATGAATTCCAATAACCAACAATTACTATTCTTAAAAGAGTACTCAATACAAAATATATATATATATATATATATATATATATATATATATATATATATATACATGTATTGTCAAATGACCGGATATTGTAGCGTCTGGTCATGCGTAATTTCAACGAAGAAATAAATTGAATAACATATGTATTTTTTCTTTTCTCAATAATTTTATAGTTTTTAAACTTAATAGTGATTAAATTTGGATTTTAAAATTGGCAGTTTTTAATTTTAATATCAAATTTTATCATTTAATTTAATAATTGTTGGTTAGAATAAATTCTTTTAATATTACCCGTATTTTAAAGATCTGAATAGCTATTATAACATGATTTCGTTGTCAAGCTTTTGAATCTTCCTATACTTGGATTTTGATTGGTCATTCTAGCTTTTGTAACAATGTTTTCCCCTAGCGAAGGATCGTTAATTAATTTGAAACTTTTAAAATCATTTATTTTATCTTCAACATCATCACTTGATAAGACACCGAGGGTGTTGAAACAAAATGGCTATTTTTGTAGTGATTTTATAACATATTTATGTTATAAATTTTTTTTTTATAAATAATAATTATATATATATATATATATATATATATATATATACAAATGGGCACAAGAGCCAGGATAAGAAAAGAAATACTGTAAAAGTGTTGAATTGAAAAATATAATAAAGGAATAACAAAAAAAGTGGCTATTGATTCTTGCTCTGCAGAGCCAGTCAGGGACAAAAATATCTTCACAACTAAAAGGGGGGGGGAATGTGACGAAGGACATGAATTAATACCAAAGAATCAGCAATATAAATTAAAAACAGATTATATTCTAGACTCAACAGCCATTCTTTCTCCTTACAAAGGGAAGGCTGCTTTGACTTGATATAAATGGTCTCAAGAATTCTTAAATGATAATTTGAATGAGTTTTGCTGATTATGGTGAAAAAAAATCCCTAGTGAAGAACAAGGCAAAAATTGGATTATTTATTAAGTGCTTTACAATAGCAGAACCAGAAGTATACATAAGCCTGTGCAAATTTTCACACTGCCCTCAATGTCCCTTAGTTGACATGTGTTGATTAATTCTGGTTTCCAACCTCTGATTGGTTCTGCCAATATATTCAGCATAACATTGATGTCTGTAATTATAGATAAATGACCTAACATGAGAGGATTGCAAAACATCATTGCAGATGCATTTTAGCATAGGTTGGGAAGTTTTTCCAGTTTTTTTTTATTCTGTATATATATATATTCTTTTAAAATGTCCATTTTGAAAGCATTAATAAAACTTTGTATGTAACACATTTTATTTAAGAGACTGGATGTTTTCACATGGAGATTTTTTGTTGTTAACCATTTTTTTAAAAATTGCTTCTGCTTTATTCGATTTGGAATTACTTTGAACAAAAAACTAATCACTAGTAAGAATAATTTTGTGTGATTAGTAATTGATATTAATATCAGAATATTGTATTGCTTTTCTTTATTTTCTAGTACAATAAATGGTCGGATAGATCAGGTGAATAAAGTCTTGGAACTTGTTCGAGAGACAACAGGTGTTGCCCAGTACAATGCTTTAGACAAGTGGACATCCCAATTGCACTCATTACACCAAACAGTTATCAATAAGATGGCATAACCTCAACTTTTTATTCTTTATTAGGAAAAAAAAAGAAGCTGAGCTAACGTCTTTGGAAACACAGCCCTTTGATTTCTTTTTTTCTTTCTTTTTTTTTCTTTCTTTTTTTTTCTTTCTGTTGCTGTTCTTAACATTGCTGCAATGCCATGCATCCAAAGAATAAAATACCAATTTTCTTTCAATAAAACTGTTCTTTCTGTTATTTTTAGATTTTATGTCAAGGGCTAGAAGATTGAGTATATTGAAATTGGGAGAAACATTGAATAAAATTTGTATATTCAGGCATCTCTTTTAATGTAATGGTGATGAATAAGACTTGCTACTGTTACTATGTCCAAAGTCTTATTCAATACTATTTCAAATTTAGTTGGGATGAAAAATTATTTCACTATACTCCTGTTAACACAAGTATTCACAGAATTCAGATCCTTATTACATGTTTTCAATTAATGCCAAGATAACAAAAACCTGTTCTTTTTTTTTTTTTTTTTTTTTTTTTTCAGTACCTCTACACAATATATTTCAAATTATATAATAAACTCTTTAGTTCTGATGAAGGTTGTAAAATTTGTTAAAAGTAGACAACACTTAGTTAAGATAGTGAAGAAATTCCCTATGTTAAAGATATTACAAGGACATTTTTTTATAAATCATAAATCCTGTTACATTATTTTTATTGAAACAAATACCTTCTAGAGCTACAAAGTAGATAAAACTAATGGATCAAAAACATGGCATTCTTTACTGAAGGTAATGTCATAGTATAAAACTCACCCAGAACTGAAGGCCTGTCTCAAATCTCATTATTCCAGGATAGATGAAGAAATTCCCAAAACAATAAAAACAAAATTTTATCATTAAGAGGAAAGATCAAAGGACTTTTTAACAGCTTCTTGCACTTCTTGCTTGTGGAACTCTCTTCCGGGCTCCATGCTTTCCAGATAACTTTGATCTTCAAAAATTTAAATGTAAAAAAACAATGTCAATTGTTACCTACTGTTTTCTCGATTATTTTCTATTGTTCTCACTCCTTCATAATGTTTTCTGTTTTCACATTCTTTCACCCCCAGTAACCTCTTGTGTTTTAGTGGTTTTATTGCCTTGCTTGGGGTAAATTTGATGGAAAAACTTACTACAATTCAACAACACCCAGTATATTAACAAGAATTTTGAATTTATTTTTTGTGTGTATAAACATGTTGATTTTTGCAAATACAGAATTAGTTTTAAAAAATTATATAAGGTAGTCATGTTGCATTCAAATTATTTTTTCAGTTATGTACCCCTTACTTAAATTTTCCAAATAGACTGTTAATAAATCCCTCATCATGTCAGAACCCCAGCTCTGTTTTAAAAATACATTTTTGTAATATTTGTTTCAATTTAGATGAGTTAAACTTTTAATCAGCTAATTTTTCTCAAATAACATTCCAGCAAAGTATATTTAATTTTTGAAAGATTTTTTAAAAAAGATAATTATGTTGTGTTGATAGCTCTATCAATATAGATACATTTATAGACTTTACTCAGGACAAAAAAAAATTTCCAAACAGTTTAAATTCAGTTTGAAATACAGCAAAGTATTTTGCTTATTGGCAATACTAAATTTAATTTATAAGCTTGGAATTAAAATTAAAGCTTTAAGAAAGCTTTATGAGATACTTTTTAAACTTTGGTATCGCATTTTATTTTACATACCTACATGAAGTTAATTTAATATTTTTTTTCTATCATATTGTTATTCATAATAAATAATTTTTTTTTTTTTTTTTTTTTTTTTTAAATATGTTGAATTTTAAATTTAATCCAATATTTTTAGATATTGTAAACTATTTATACAATTCATGAACACTGACCCTGCTTCTAAACCACACATTTTTAAATCAATATTTTTTCTACTCATCATCTACTTCTATAATCATAAAAATGTATATTTATGATTAAATAAGTCAGCGTAACAATAAGTAAATTTATTTCTAAACAATAAAATAAAGAAAGTTACTTTGATGTTTATTTTGTTTTAGGTCATATTTTTCTTATAGAATTCGATATGTTTTGGTTCTTTTAGAACTGTTTTAACTTGGATAATTATTTCAAAGGTTAAAATGCATATGACATTTCGTACACCCATATTAACAGGGTGGAATGAGATGATGGATTTATAGCTCCACCAAATTATATATTAATTATAATAAAACCTTAATAAAGAAAAATTATACCAAGATAAAGAGGATTAACGTTTTGAGTCAAATTATTATGCTCTTAATCTCTAATTTTTTTTTTTTTTTCCTTTGAATTTCTTAAACTGACTACAGTAGCAAACAAACCCAAACTAAAAATCTTCACTTCCAGTGTAACACGCTTTGAGATAAGACACCAAAACTGGGAAAGACATGCATTGTGACTTGGCCTTTAGTAAAGAACACCATGACTGAAAATTCATCTTAAAGAATGTATTAGGCAAAACTATTTCATTTGAGTTATGAGGTTGATATCTCTTCTGATTAATTTAATTCAAAGTTACTGAATTTGCTTGAAGTGTAGAAAACCTTTTTTTCTTTTAATGTTTTGGTTTTTACACAACTTACCTAAGGGTTACATTAACCTTTTGAAAAATGTAAATATGCGTTGGATGCCAACATGTTAAAAACTGCAATAGATCTGTCTCTCAAATGTTCAGCCTATGAATACATACTGACAGTGAGACTAATGAAATTAAATTTAAAGCAGTGCTTAGAAAAAAAAGGGGTTAATAATTGAATCAGTGTTATCACTGGCTCAAATCAAATCTGATAAAATGAATGAAAGCTAATCTATTAACTTCACAACAATGTATTTGCTTTATGCATCATCAGTTAAAACAAATAATTGTTTTTACTCTCATATTGATCATAAATGTAATGTAGCCAAACAGATAGGAATTTGTTTTGAAGTTTTGACCTGAATTTTGTATTCATGCTGTTGGGATTTATATGTTACCACAAAGTGTCTGCTTACCAGTAACTACAAAACAAAAAAAAAACTACCACAATATAATTAAACTAAACATACCAGCATCAACAAAGAAAACACATCATCCTTAACACCTTTGTTACCAATGTCCTCCCATCCCTCCCACTGACGTGTCTAGGCAAAAACTAGAATAAGGAGACTCTCCAGAGACAAAATAGGCTTTCAAATATAGTAGAGCTTAGCATTCTGACCATGAGAGCAGAGTTCAAATTTTTTTTTATCCTTGATTAGGCAAGGGGATGACTTTTTGATATTATCCTGGGGAAATGACTCCAGCATGCAGATCCATTGTACAACCTGAAAATCACATCACTGGTTGCCCCAGACCCTGTTAGCAAAATTGGGTAAACAAGACTGCTCAGAAGCCATCAATGGTTGTGTTTGAATGTTACTGGAGGATCTAGGCACCCCTACTGCCGCTCTTCAACAGTGACTTGTCTATATTGGTAAACGGCATGAGATTAATATCATATGTTGATAACAGAGTGAAAGTCAAGGAATATTCTTTATGAACATTCCAAGACACAAGCACCAAAAAAAAAAAGATTATTATTCTTTATATTATTATATGATTTGTGATTATATTATTGTCACTTAGAAAAAGCATGTCAAATTAAAATTTACATTTTACCATTCAAACCAGAAGTTAATATCAAAAATTTGGATCTATCTACATAAATAGTGAAAACAATACTGGAGTCAACACACCATTTTCAACATAAGGGGTAATTTATATGGATAGGAGGGGAAGATAATGATTAACTCTTGTCTTGAACAGGTTAAGGGTGTAGGGATTAGGGAAATGTTCTCTTGGAGGTCTGTTCCATAGAGCAGTGGTTGACAGGAAGAAGCTGTTTGAGCTTACTTCTCACCAATGGAATACCGAGGGAATTATTACAATGTAAGTGGCATGGTGCATCCTAGCTGGCAAATCCAAGGAATGTTGTTTGTCCAGGGTGACCCTGCTACCTCTCTTCATCAGTGATTTGTCTATATTGGTAAATGGCATGAGATTAATATCATATGTTGATAACAATGTGCAAGTCCAGGAATATTCTTTATTAACATTTCAAGACACAAGCATCAAGTAGTTGAGCAGATAATTAAAAAAAAGGAGTGGCATTATATGATTAAAGAATTTGATACTTAAACGATGAAAAGTAGCATCAATGTACACTGCAGCTAAATGCAGTATACTCAGAAACAGGAAAAGATGGCTAAAATTCTTTGGATACATAATGACAACAAAAGGGCTTGGAAAACTTATCCCATATGAGACATTGAGGGCAAGAAAGAGGGGAAAACAGCAAGCCACTTACCTAACAAACTTGTGTGAATGCAATGCAAAACAGGTATTGGGTGTTTTAAGAAAGTAGGGAAAACTACTAAGTGCCACAAGGGATAGGAAGTTGTGACAAGCCATCATAGCCTATGTCCTGAAGTAACACAGCACATAGAAGAAGAATTATGTCACATTAGGTTGTCCTAGAAACTCTTTTTAACCTAAAAAATATTTTAGTATATATTTATTGATAGTGTTGCACATCATTTAATACTGAGAATCAAACTTGAATCATCTTTCCTTAATAAAATTGAATGTACATTATATTAAAGCAGGGCTTCCCATCCTGGGCAATATCGCCCACTAGTGGACAATTTCAACTGAACAGAAAATGGCAGGTTATTGGAAATTTTGGTATATGATATAGGATTTTGATTATTAAAAAGTTATTTCAACATATGCTACATGAAAAAAAAAATATATATTCAAAGAATCTGTATTAAAAAAACAAAAACAAGGCTAAATGGGAACAACTGGGTCACATTCCCAGATAAGATATAAATATCCTTGCAAACAAGGAATATTTTGGTTATTTTCTATTGTTTTAAGAAGGGTCATTAATATTCAAATAGTTCTCCAAATGAAATAACATTTTTTTCAGATATAAATCAGAAAAAATCTGGCA